GGGCCGGGCGCCTCTCCAGGGAGGGAATGACCACCCTGGACCCAGCTGGACCCAGTCGATGGGAGGCGCGGTGGGGTCTCGGCAGAGGGCTGTCTCCAGAGCCTCCTTTGGATGAGAGCCGCCCCGGGAAATCAGGCTGGGGGGCGGGGAGGAGGGGAGGCGAGGGGGGGGCGCCTTATCTTGGCCCTCAGCCCCAGGGAGGGGGTTTCCGGAGGTTTTGCCCGATCTCCAGCCCGGGTTTAAGGCTCGTGCGGGCGTCTGGTAGGCGGCTGATTTCAGAGCTTTCTGGTCCCTGTTTGGGAGGGTCAGGGTTTCAGCCACAGGACCCATGGGTTTGCCATGGGGTGTGCTGTGGCCCAGCAATTTGACTGGGATCTGGCCCATGGCGGGGGGGCCTGGACACCGCCATGGGCAACCTGGACACCGCCCCCTGCTTTCTCATCCTTGGGGACTAGGCCAGCTGGCCAGGGCAGGGCCCCCCCCCCGCCACTGCAGGGGAGCGGAACCAGGGGCCAGAGACCCATAAAGCCGAGGTGGCCTTTACTGCCAGCCTTATTGTCGGCTGGCCACAGCAACAGCCATTAGAGCCGCCTCCCCCAGCAGCAGCTGGGGCCCCCCCGACATGTCCTCCCTTTACGGCCACGCATCAGTGCCCCGGCCCCACAGGGGTCTGATCGTGCCTCGCCACTGGCCTCATTCACCCACCATTCGGCTTTGGAGTTAATGGCTCCTGCCCCCCCCCAACCCTTCCTGGCCCACACGGGGCTGCTATTTGCTGACCCGAGCCTCGGTTTCCCCACCCGGAATATGAGGGTCGCGGGGGTGCTAGGTGCTTGGGGTAAAGCTGCTGTGTCTTCTCACACACTCTTCTTGAGAGGTGGGGAAACTGAGGCGGGAAGTGCGGTGAGGTTTTTGTAGGGACTGCGCTGGGGATTGGGGGGGGTCCTGGCAGGGTAGACCCCCCCAACACTGCGTCAGAGTCTCGGAGGAGACGACCAGATGCATTTGCATCTTAGGGGGCTCCCCTCAAACAGTGGACTCCAGGCAGCCGAGACCTGTCCTCCCTCCGTCCCGGAGCCCAAAGTCCAAAATCTCGGCATCTGCTCGGCTTTGCTCCCTCCAGGGGCCGCAGAAGGGACCGTCCGCCTCTCCCGGCTTCTGGGGGCTCCGGCCTCCGTCTCCGTGTCTCTTTTTCTTCTGAGGACCCAGCCCTTGGATGTAGGGTCCACCGTGACCGTTTCTCCTGTTTCCAAATCGGGTCCCGTTCTGCGGTTTTGGGTGGGGGGTGTTCACCCCAGAACAGCTCCAGTGGTGAACCCCCTCTCCATTCCAGGACCTGCTGTCTCAGGCGCTTCTTCCGGGGGCGAGCTCATTCCGTCCCCCTCTCTGCCCTGCCTGGCCCGAAATTACAGCTGAGAAAATCGAGGTTCATGTAACAGGCATTTATTAGGCAACTGCTGTGTGCTCAGCCCAATTTTAGATCCTGGGGACAAAACAGACAAAAACCCCAGACAAACCCCTAAATCCGTGACTCGGGTGATGGACCGGGTCTCGGAGGAAGAGAGGGGAGGGGAGGGGGCAGGGGTCGGAAGACGAGGCCTGGCGTGTGGCCCTGTGTGCGTGCCTGTGCTCATGGGACCCGCCGGCCAGCCGGGTATACCTGCGGGCCCCACACCCCTCGGGCAGCTGAAGGGGAAACTGGGCCTCCCCGGCCACCATAAATCAGCGCAGGAATGCGGGCTGGCCAGTCTGGCGCTGGCCGGGGTGGGGCGGAGACAAAGGCCAGGCAGCTGGACCTCTGGCAGCCCGACCACCCAGGGCAGAGGTCAGGACTCCTGGCTGCCCCCCCAGCCCCTTCCTGGAAGCCCTCACTCGGCCTCCAATACACAGATGGGGAAACTGAGGCCCAGGGAGGGGCAGGATGGCTGCAGGGTGGCCGGGCCCTCAGCCGGCCTCCCCGGCACCCAGGACTTCCCCGCAGCAGGGGCTGGGCGTGGGCCTCGTTCCTGGGCCCTAATGACGACGGATCATCCCAGCTGAGGCCTAATTGGTGGTTTCAAGGCCCCCCACCGCCCAGCCGGCCGCATCCCCCCCCCCCCCCCCCCCCCCCCCCCCCCCCGAGCTTAATTTGCAACCTGCTCCTCCTCGGCAAATTGGCCCCCGCCTGAACTCTGCTTTCTAATTATCCCTGCTGGCCTCCCCCACCCTGCCTGCCCCTGCCTGCCCGCCAGAACCTGGGGGGTGGGGGGCTGGGGGGCCTCCTGTCCCCTGTACCCCAGATGGAATCCCTTTCCCCTCTGGAAGACATTCGGGGCCTGATGATCTTCCCCGGCCACCACCCTGGCAGGCAGAGGCTGTCAGTGGCTCATTTAGTAGCTGGAGGCCGAGACCCCAGGGTCCAGGGAAGGGGAAGCCGGCAGGAGGACCAGGATGGGAACCAGGAAGGAGCTCCGGGCCGAGTTCCCGACTGCCCCAGGCTGCGGCCCCACACTCACCACTGTGCCTCAGTTTCCTCCGCCGCAAAACAGAGCCGGCTCTTGGAGCAAATGCCCTCCTGTCAGACCCTCAGGACGGCCCCGGAGGCCGATTATTTACAGTGATTTGCTGTGTGAGTCAGGCAGGCACAGTCGTGGGTTGAATTGTGTCCCCCGAAGGAGATAAGGTGAAGCCACAGCCGGTGGCTCCCTCCTGTGACCCCAGCACTTTGAGAGGGCGACATGGGAGGATCGAGGAAGCCCAGGAGTTCAAGACCAGCCTGGACAACGTAGCAAGACCCCATCTCTACTACAGAAAATGTAAAAACTTAGCCGGGTGTGACGGCGGGTGCCTGTGGTTTCAGCCACTTGGGCAACTGAGGCAGGAGGATCCCTTGAGCCCAGGAGGCTGAGGCTGCAGTGAGTTATGATTGCGCCACAGCACTCCAGCCTGGTTGACAGAGTGAGACCCTGTCTCTAAAAAACAAACAAAAAAGGCCGGGCACGGTGCCTTCCACCTGCGATCCCAGCACTCTGGGAGGCGGAGGCGGGCAGATCACAAGGTCAGGAGATCAAGACCATCCTGGCCAACGTGGTGAAACTCCGTCTCTACTAAGAATATAAAATTTAGCCAGGCGTGGTGGCGCGTGCCTGTGGTCCCAGCTACTCGGGAGGCCGAGGCAGGAGAATCGCTTGAACCCAGGAGGCGGAGGTTTCGGTGAGCCGAGATCGCGCCATTGCACTCCAGCCTGGGCGACGGAGTGAGACTGTCTCAAAAAAAAAAAAAGAAGAAGGAAGGAAAGAAAAGAAGAAGTTAGGTTCGAGTGCCGGATTCCCGGTACCTGTGCCGGGGGCCTCGTTTGGAAACGGGCTTCTAACCGACGCACGGTGGCGTGTGGACGCTTCGGTCAACCTCAGACCGCACGGACGACGGCGGCCCCACGGCATGAGAATTCCATGTTTCTTCTTCTCCTGTCCCGTGTTCGGATGTATTCGACGCCCAGACGCTCGCCGTCGTGTCCCCGTGGCCCACAGGGTCCGGTGCAGCCACAGATTTATAGCCCAGGAGCGCCGCGCCGTGCCCGGTGCCTCGGCGTGTGGGAGGCTTCGCCAGTGAGGGGTGTGTGGGTCACTCTGTGATGTTCACGAAATCACCGACAGACACGACAGGACGTGTCCTCCGTGAAGACAGGCCGAGGCTGCAGCCCGGGAACCTGGACCCCCCGGAAGCCGTGAGAGGCAGAGGGCCCCTCCCTTGGAGACTTGAGACGGAACGCAGACGACACCTCTTGTTTCGTTCTGCTTTTAGAGACAGGGTCTCGTTCTGTCACCCAGGCTGGAGTGCAGTGGCGTGGTCTCGGCTCACTGCAGCCCCCACTGCCTGGGCTCAAGCAATCCTCCCACCTCAGCCTCCCAGGTAGCCGGGACTACAGACGTGAGCCTCCCGACCTGGGTAACTTTTTATATTTTTGTAGCGATGGGGTCTCACTCTGTTGCCCAGGCTGGCGTTGAATTCCCGGGTTCAAGCGATTCCCCCGCCTCCCAAAGCGCTGGGATTACAGGCATGAGCCACCACCCTGCAGAGACGCTGATTCTGGATTTCTGGGCTCCAGGACTGTGGGAGAATAGATTTCTTGAAGCTGTAGGGAGCTAAGGATCGATTTGGTGTGAGGTGTCCCTAAAACCAGCAAGGTGGCCGGGCGCGGTGGCTCACGCCTGTCATCCCAGCACTTTGGGAGGCCAAGGCGGGTGGATCACGAGGTCAGCGGTTCGAGACCAGCCTGGCCAACGTAATGAAACCCCATCTCTATTAAAAATACCAAACATTGGCCGGGCGCGGTGGCTCAGGCCTGTAATCCCAGCACTTTGGGAGGCCGAGGCAGGTGGATCACTAGGTCAAGAGATCGAGACCATCCCCGTCAACATGGTGAAACCCCGTCTCTACTAAAAATACAAAAAATTAGCTGGGCACGGTGGTGCATGCCTGTAATCCCAGCTACTCGGGAGGCTGAGGCAGGAGAATTGCCTGAACCCAGGAGGCGGAGGTTGCGGTGAGCCGAGATCGCGCCATTGCATTCCAGCCTGGGTGACAAGAGCGAAACTCCGTCTCAAAAAAAACGTTAAAGCCAGTAAGCTTGTGTCTTGAGAAGGGGAGGGAGAAATGGGGAGAGGGTCTCGTGGAGACAGAGGCGGAGACTGCAGCGCTGGGGCCACCAGCGGGGGACCACCTTGATCTGGGGTTTCCAGGCCCCAGGGCCAGGAGAGGGGCCCGCCTGCCATCCCAGGCCACCGGTTTCTGATGCCTCCTTGCTGCCGCTCCGGGAAGCTCGTTCACCCGCATGTCTGTCTCTCGGCCTCGTGTTCTTCACCTGCCCAGCTCGGTTTCGGCTCTGGCAGCGACTCATTGAGCACTTTAGAGGTGGTGACCTCTGCTGCCGTCCTGGCCTGGCCTCCAGTGCAGCCGGGACGTCCTTCCCACGCCTGAGCTCTGGCACCCACTAACCGGTCCCCTCTCTGCCCTCACAGCTCTACGAACTCGACGGGGACCCCAAGAGGAAGGAATTCCTGGATGACTTGTTCAGCTTCATGCAGAAGCGAGGTGAGCCCCCTGCCCCCACCCCCCGGAGGGAAGGCACAGAAACTGGGCCGGAGGAGGGCCCCTGGTGGCTCCGGGTATGTCGGGGGGGTAGCGAGCTCCCCATGGCTGGAGGCATCCAGGAGGAACTTCAGGGGTATCTTGGGGGGCCACACACCCTGCCGTGGGGGGTTGATGCGGGAGACGTGGCTGTGAGTCTAAGGGGGCCACACACCCTGCCGTGGGGGGTTGATGCGGGAGACGTGGCTGAGAGTCTAAGGGGTAGGTCCCTTGGTGCAGGGGGGTCTCAGGGCCCCAACACAGAACACAGTCCAGGCCATCTCTTTGGCATCTAGGCTGCCGTGAAGTGGGGGTCTCCACTACTGGGTACGGGGGGAGTGGAGTCCCCTCTGTGCTTGGGACATGGGGTCAGATCCAGGACGGATCAAGGTAGCGGGTGTGCACCTGTGGGCTCCGTCTCGAGGGCCCGTCCTGCTTAGAGTCTGATGATCTAGTGGCCCCTCCCCTCCTCCTACCAGGGCCTCAGTTTCCCCATCTGTAAAAATGGGCCACAAGTGACTGCGTGCGGTGGCTCACGCCTGTAATCCCAGCACTTTGGGAGGCCGAGACAGAAGGATCACGAGGTCAGGAGTTCAAGACCATCGTGGCTAACACGGTGAAACCCCGTCTCCACTAAAAGTACGAAAGATTAGCCGGGTGTGGTGGCGGCCACCTGTGGTCCCAGCTACTCAGGAGGCTGAGGCAGGAGAATCGCTTGAACCCGGGAGGCGGAAGTTGATACAAACAACCTCCTGCCCAAAACTCAGCGGCCAGCAGCTACCTGAGACGTGCTGAGTGCGGGGCGGCTGTTTACCGAGCACACTTATTGGGCACCGACGGTATACCAGCTCTGGGCCGCTTCCGTACCACTCCCCGCCCCGGTGTCTCCTGGCCTGGGAGCGTCTTATGGCCGAGGCCTTGAGAACAGCCTGGGGACCAGGCATGTGGAGGAGGGACCCACCAAGGGCTGGTGTCCAGGTAGGGAAACTGAGGCCCTGCACAAGACAAGCTCAAAGATGACAAAGGGTGGCCAGGGTGTCCCCAGCGGCCATTCCCAGGCCTCACCCCGGCTTGGAGTGACCACAGGGCAGAGAGAGTGCGGCCAGGACTTCCCTCTCGCCTCCATGTCCTGGACGGCCAGACAGGGTCCTGGGAGCCGGGTAGGGGCCGCTCCCGACCCCCCGGCTACTCCTCTAGAATAGGGAGTAGCTCCCGTCCCCACCGTTCAGACGGGGGAGGAGGCCTCCGGGCTCACAGAGGCAGGAAGAGGTGGGGCGGAGGGCTCTGACCCCGCACTTGGGGCTGTGGCAGGGGCCGCTGTGTCCCAGCCTCCACCCACCCCTCCCTTGGCTTCTATAAACACAGGCCCCAGACCCGCCACTGCCAGCCCGCCCGGAAGGGAAGGAGGAGGAGGAGGAGGAGGGCTGTGGGCCCCCCGGCCCACACTGCCCAGCAGCCTCTGAGTTAACCCCTCCCTTGCTGGGAACAGAGGAATCCAGACCTGGGACCTGGGCAGGGGGGCCCCTTCTGTGTTATCCTCCAAGCCCAGCTTTCCCGGGGCCCACTGCCCCTTACGAGGCCAGACAGATCTGCCCCCTCCCCTTTATCATCCTGTTCACACCTGCCCGGCCCTTGACCACTCTGCTGTGGGGCTCCGAGCTCCAGGGTCCACAGCCAACCCGTTTTGCTGTTACCCGTGCCTGGTGTCCTGGTGATACTTAGCCGTGAGGACCGGGCGCGAGGGTTCACCCCTGTAATCCCAGCACTTTGGGAGGCCGAGGTGGCGGGGGTCACTTGAGGTCAGGAGTTCGAGACCAGCCTGGACAACATAGTGAAACCCCGTCTGTACTAAAAATACAAAAATTAACCAGGAGTGTTGGCACGTGCCTGTAATCCCAGCTATTCAGGAGGTCAGTGCAGGAGAATGGCTTGAAGCTGGGGGGGCAGAGGTTGCAGTGAGCTGAGATCACTGCGCTCCAGCCTGGGTGACAGAGCGAGACTCCGTCTTAAAAAGAAAGGAAAGGAAAGGAAGATAGCACAGTGAGGCTGGGTGAGATGGCTCGTGCCTGTAATTCTAGCACTCGGGGAGGCCAAAGAGGAAGGCTGGCTTGAGCCCAGGAGGTGGAGGCTGCACATGAGCCTGGGTGACAGAGTGAGCCCAGCCTCAAACCAACAGCAGGCATGGTAGGCTGCCCATGAGTGGGTGAGATGGGGGTCCCTGGAACACGGGACCATGAGGGACTGTATCCGGTTTTATCTCTCTCTCCCAGCCGGGCATTCCTGCAGGGCAGGGCCAGCCAGCTCCTATGCGTCCTTCAAAACCCAGGCTCGAAGCTCCCTCTTCCTTGCCTTCTTCCCGGAGCTTCCCGCTGTAGTGGGGCCCGGGGAGCTAAGAATCTGTCAGGTGAACCTACCCATCACCCTAGACCTCACGGTTCCCTCTCCTTCACTCCAGAGGGAAAGATTTTTTTTTTTTTTTTTTTTTTTTTTTTTGCTTGTGTCACAAAGTAAAAACCTCCATCTAAATTTCTCAGAATTCTCCGGGGACTGGGAGGGAGGGGAGGGAGGGGTCGTGACCGCACCCCCTCACCTCAGCAGCAGCAGCTGGACCACCTGACCAGCTGTTCCCCAACAACCTCCCCACCCTTCCTTATCTGGGCCCCACGCCGGGCCCTGGTGATGCTCCCTTCTGTAAACATCCTCCTCCTGCCCACCCGCTGCAGAGCCCGGGCGCGGCCCTGGGAACCCTCTGCTGCTGATTTTTTTTTTTTTTTTTAATTTTGAGACACAGTCTTGCTCTTGTTGCCAAGGCTGGAGTGCCGTGGCGGGGTCTCGACTCACCGCAACCTCCGCCTCCTGGGTTCAGGCAATTCTCCTGCCTCAGCCTCCCGAGTAGCTGGGATTACAGGCACGCACCACCGTGCCCAGCTCATTTTTTGTATTTTTAGTAGAGACGGGGTTTCACCATGTTGACCGGGATGGTCTCGATCTCTTGACCTCGTGATCCACCCTCCTCGGCCTCCCAAAGTGCTGGGATGACAGGCGCGCGCCACCGCGCCCGGCCCCATTTTTTGTATTTTTAGTAGAGATGAGGTTTCACCATGTTGGTCAGGCTGGTCTCGAACTCCCGACATCAGGTGATCTGCCTGCCTCAGCCTCCTGAGTAGCTGGGATGACAGGCGCGCGCCACCACGCCCAGCCACTTTTTGCATTTTTAGTAGAGTTTCTCCAAGTCGGTGCGGCTGGTCTTGAACTCCTGACTTCAGGTGATCCGCCGGCCTCGGCCTCCCAAAGTGCCGGGATTACAGGCGTGAGCCACCGCGCCCGGCCTGATGCCGTTCGTTTTTACTTGGCAAACTCTGAGGCCTAACCTGGTGTCCTGAGTTGGGCAGGGCAGAGGGTCCGGGAGGGTTTCTCGGCTGTTGGTACAGCTGAAACCTGGCTCCCCTCTCTCAGGCTGTCACGTGGGTTTCGGGTGGGGTCGGGTTTGAGGCCCTTCTTCCTGAAACCTGGGGTCTCCTCCAGTCACTGAGGTTTTTGCAACCTGGGAAGGGCCTGGAAGTGGCCGAGGGTGGTGGGAGGTGGTTCTGGAAGGTCAGGCATTGGGGGCCTCGGGGACAGGGTCCCGGCGTGGCAGACATCGTCCGGGCACAGGGCTGGCCGCTCACTCAGGGCTGCCCCCACTCTCTCTCCACTCACGTCATGGACCTCAGTGTCCATGTCCCCATCCCTACTGGGGCAACGGGCGTCCCCTCCCACCCCATGGTGAGCAGCAGCGGTGGCCTGGGCCAGCCGCCCTCACTGGCCTTCACTGAGCGCCCGCTGTGTGCCGCTGGGCGCTGGAACCCCACGTCGGCAGAACATGGGGTGGGGGCCGCAGACAGTACCCAGTTGACCTCATGAGCCCAGGCTTGTGGGCTGTCAGGCCAGGGAGGGCTGACATCTGTAGCGGAGGCCCCTGGTACAGGGGCAGCCTGGCAGAGCCCTGAGCGGGTGGGTGGGGTGGAAGGGCGAGGAGGGGCCGTGTCTGCAGCGGGCTTCGGGAGATGCCTTCCTCCTGGGCTAGCCCACCTGCCCCTGCGCTGATCTTCCCCGTTTCCCGCCCTGCCATAACCCATCACCCTCTCCTCCTGGGTTATCCACCCACCCCCACCCCCCGTGCCTGTGCTAGCCCACCCCCCACACCTCCCTCCCCTACCTGGGTTAGCCCACAGCCCTCCATTCTCCAAACTGCAAATCGAGTGAGCGGAGCTTCCACCCCGCCGCCCGCCCGCCTGAGACGGCAGAGCCCCTGGGAGCGTGGCGGGGACGGGCCCCCAGGAGCACGGGCAGAGTTGTTCCGGCGGCTGCTGTGGAGGCGGCGTGGAGAAGGATAACAAAGATCCCTGCGTCTCCCGCACGCCCCTCCTCTAAGTAACCCTCCTCCCGAGCTTCGAGGGCTGCACCGACCCCGAGCCCGGGTTACTGGTGGGGAAACCGAGACGGAGCTGCCCCCGTGGCTCCCTCTCGAGCAGCGGTTGCCAACCTGGGTGATCCTGCGCCCACAGGAGGCCCTGGGCAGCGTCTGGCGACCTGTGTGGTTGTCACAGCCTGCATGGCAGGTGCTTCCGGCGTGGGGAGGGTGGAGGCGGGGACACTGGGCTCCCTGCAGTGCCCGGGCAGCCCCCGACCTCCCTCTCGGCCCGTCCCCCAGGAACACCTGTGAACCGCATCCCCATCATGGCCAAGCAGGTCCTTGACCTGTTCATGTTGTACGTGCTGGTGACGGAGAAGGGCGGCCTCGTGGAGGTCATCAACAAGAAGCTGTGGCGCGAGATCACCAAGGGCCTCAACCTGCCCACGTCCATCACCAGCGCGGCCTTCACCCTGCGGACCCAGTGAGTGGCGGGCGGCAGGGCAGAGGTCGGGCCGGGGTGCTCTGGGCAGCCGGTGCCAGGCGCCTGCAAAAGAGGGGGCGGTAGGCAGCCGCAGAGGGCGCCAGGCCACACTGTGCATCCTGGGCCTGAGAGCATCAAGTAGGGGTGTGAGGGCCACACGGGCGCTGAAGTTACGCAATCGGAGGCCATTGCAGGGAACAGCATGGAGGCGGAGGGAACGGCACTGAGGCGGAGGGAACGGCACTGAGGCGGAGGGAACAGGATTGAGGCGGAGGGAACAGCACTGAGATGGAGGGAATAGGATTGAGGCATAGGGAACAGCATTGAGGCAGAGGGAACAGCACTGAGGCGGAGGGAACAGCACTGTGGCGGAGGGAACGGCACTGTGGCGGAGGGAACGGCATTGAGGCGGAGGGAACAGCACTGACGTGGAGGGAACAGCACTGAGGCAGAGGGAACGGCATTGAGGCGGAGGGAACAGCATTGAGGCGGAGGGAACAGCACTGAGATGGAAGGAATAGGATTGAGGCATAGGGAACAGCATTGAGGCAGAGGGAACAGCACTGAGGCGGAGGGAACAGCACTGTGGCGGAGGGAACGGCACTGTGGCGGAGGGAACGGCATTGAGGCGGAGGGAACAGCACTGAGATGGAGGGAATAGGATTGAGGCATAGGGAACAGCATTGAGGCGGAGGGAACAGCACTGAGGCGGAGGGAACGGCACTGAGGCGGAGGGAACGGCACTGAGGCGGAGGGAACGGCACTGAGGCGGAGGGAACAGCACTGAGATGGAGGGAACAGCACTGAGAAGCACTGAGATGGAGGGAACAGGATTGAGGCATAGGGAACAGCACTGACGTGGAGGGAACAGCACTGAGGCAGAGGGAACGGCATTGAGGCAGAGGGAACAGCACTGAGATGGAGGGAACAGCACTGAGATGGAGGGAATAGGATTGAGGCATAGGGAACAGCATTGAGGCGGAGGGAACGGCACTGAGGCGGAGGGAACGGCACTGAGGCGGAGGGAACGGCACTGAGGCGGAGAGAACGGCACTGAGATGGAGGGAACAGCATTGAGGAGGAGGGAACTGTATTGAGGCGGAGGGAACAGCACTGAGATGGAGGGAACAGCATTGACACGGAGGGAACAGCATGGGCAAAGGCCCAGAGGCTCTAGGGGCTGCTGAGCAAATCCAAGGGAGGAGCCAGGCATGGTGGTGCCACAGTGGGGTTTACTTTGTACTGAGGGCCACAGGGGTGACCCGGTGTCATTCCGTCCCCTTGTCCCACAGATACATGAAGTACCTATACCCTTACGAGTGTGAGAAGCGAGGCCTCAGTAACCCCAACGAGCTCCAGGCAGCCATAGACAGCAACCGACGGGAGGGCCGGCGCCAGAGCTTTGGGGGCTCCCTCTTTGCCTACTCGCCGGGCGGGGCGCACAGCATGCTCTCCTCGCCCAAGCTGCCCGTGTCCTCCCTGGGCCTGGCCACAAACACCAATGGCAGCTCCATCACCCCCACCCCCAAGATCAAGAAAGGTAAGGACCTGCGTGGGGCCTGGGGCATATTCCCAACCTGGCTGCCTGACCCCGGGGGGATACCTCCTCCCGTCTCGGGGTAACCAGGCTGAGAAACCCTGTAGTTGGCGTGGAAAACGGCTTCCAACCTACCCTCCTCTGCCCGTGGCAGACATCACCAGTCTACCACCATTTAATTCCACACAGGTGGCAGGCAGGCAGACATCACCAGTCTACCACCATTTAATTCCACACAGGTGGCAGGCAGGCAGACATCACCAGTCTACCACCATTTAATTCCACACAGGTGGCAGGCAGGCAGACATCACCAGTCTACCACCATTTAATTCCACACAGGTGGCAGGCAGGCAGACATTGCTAATCAACCTATGTTTCCAGTCCTGCGGCCAAGGCAGGCATTGTTAATTGATCCCCGTTTTTCTCATCTGCACCGAGGGAGGCATCACGAGTTGATCAGTTTTTCCCTCCCACTGAACCCTCTGTAACACAGAGGCGCCAACCGCATACGCTGCAGTGTGGCCTCGGTCTGCCCGTCTGGGTTCCTGTTTCTCGTCTGCCGCACGGGCTGGTGGCTTCCCACTTCTTAAGGCTGGCCCAAAGATCCAGGGTAACCCCCCCACATCGCCCTGAAAGCCAGGGACTGGTCAGCTCCAAGGTGAATGGGGTCTTCCTAAACGTGAGTCCATGTGGTCTTTGGTGGACCTCGGTTAACCCCGCTCCCAGCCTTGGGGAGTCCCAACAATACCCATCAATGGTGTTTGGTTTTTTGGCTTTTTTTTTTTTGAGATGAAGTTTCGGTCTCGTCACCCAGGCTTGGAGCGCAGTGGCGTGATCTCAGCTCACTGCAGCCCCTGCCCCCCGGGTTCAAGCGATTCTCCTGCCTCAGCCTCCAGAGTAGCTGGGACTACAGGTGCCCACCACCACGCCCGGCTAATTACGGTATTTTTTAGTAGAGGGAGGGTTTTCCCATGTTGGCAAAGCTGCTTTCGAACTTCTGACCTCAGGGGATCCGCTGGCCTTGGCCTCCTATAGTGCTGGGATTACAGGTGTGAGCCACCGCGCCCAGCCCCGGCAACGGTTGTCGGCCCGGCTCTGACACAGTGGGGCTCACGAGCATCATGGCCTTGTCAGGTCCGCAAAGTCGGGAGAGCAAGCTGAGGAGAAGAGGCTGCACGGAGCTCCTGTGGAGGGGCCTTTGAGCTGAGACAGGCATAGATTTAAACCCCAGAAACTCCTCCGGGCGCAGTGGCTCACGCCTGTAATCCCAGTATTTTGGAAGGCCGGGGCGAGAGGATTGCTTGAGTCCAGGAGTTCAAGACCAGCCTGAGCAACATAGTGAGACTCCATCTCTAGCCAGGTGTGGCAGCGTGCACCTGTGGTCCCAGCCACCCAGGAGGGTGAGGTGGTCAGATCGGTTGGGCCCAAGAGGCCAAGGCTGCAATGAGCCAAGATCATACCACTCAGCCTGGGTAACAGTCTAAAAAGTAAGTTTTTTTAGGCCCGGCCCAGAGGCTTTAGGAGACTGAGGTGGGTGGATCACCTGAGGTCAGGAGTTCGAGACCAGCCTGACCAGCAAGGCAAAACCCTGTCTCTAAAAAAAAAAAGGCCCGGCACGGTGGCTCAAGCCTGTCATCCCAGCACTTTGGGAGGCCGAGGCGGGAGGATCACGAGGTCAAGAGATCGAGACCATCCTGGTCAACAAGGTGAAACTCTGTCTCTACTAAAAATACAAAAAATTAGCTGGGCGTGGTGGCGCGTGCCTGTAATCCCAGCTACTCGGGAGGCTGAGGCAGGAGAATTGCCTGAACCCAGGAGGCGGAGGTTGCGGTGAGCCGAGATCGCGCCATTGCACTCCAGCCTGGGTAACAAGAGCGAAACTCCATCTCAAAAAAAAAAAAAAAAAAGAAAGAAAGAAAGAAAGAAAGAAAGTACATGTTCCTACCTTGGCTAAAAGGCAGGGCCCAGCCCCTCCGGCCACCAATTCCCTTTCTTTCCTACCTAGAGGAGGACTCGGCCATCCCCATCACAGTACCTGGCCGCCTGCCTGTGTCGCTGGCAGGCCACCCGGTGGTGGCGGCTCAGGCAGCAGCTGTACAAGCGGCAGCCGCCCAAGCAGCCGTGGCCGCGCAGGCAGCGGCCCTGGAACAGCTGCGGGAGAAGCTGGAGTCTGCGGAGCCTCCCGAGAAGAAGATAGCGCTGGTGGCTGATGAGCAGCAACGGCTGATGCAGCGGGCATTGCAGCAGAACTTCCTGGCCATGGCAGCCCAGCTGCCCATGAGCATTCGGATCAACAGCCAAGGTACCGCCCTGGTGCCCAGACCCACCATGCTTCCTGCCTGGGTTGCACAGCGAGGGTCTTGGGGCCTACATATGTAAAAAGTATCAACAAATCAATAACAAAAAAAAAAAAAAAGGAGGCCACGCACAGTGGCTCACGCCTGTAATCCCAGCACTTTGGGAGGCCGGGGAAGGTGGAGTCAGGTCAGGAGTTCAAGAGCAGCCTGGACAACATGGTGAAACTCCATGTCTACTAAAAATACATAGCAGCATGTGCTTGTAATTCTCAGTTACTCGGGAGGCTGAGGCAGGAAAATCGTTTGAGCCCAGGAGGCGGAGGTTGCCGTGAGCCGAGAGCACGCCACTGCACTGCAGCCTGGGTGACAGAGTGAAACTCCAGCTCAAAAAGAAAAAAAAAAAAAAGAGGTTGGGCGCGGTGGCTCACGCCTGTAATCCCGGCACTTTGCGAGGCCGAGGTGGGCTGATCACCTGATATCAGGAGTTTGAGACCAGCCTGACCAACACGGCGAAACCCCATCTCTATTAAAAATACAAAAAACTAGCCGGGCGTGGTGGTGGGTGCCTGTAATCCCAGCTACTTGGGATTGGGAGGCTGAGGCAGGAGAATCATTTGAACCCAGGAGGTGGATTTTGCAATGAGCCTGGGCACCAGGAGCGAAACTCTTTCTCAATAAAGAGCAAACTGGCTGGGGGCACCGGTTCACACCTATATTCCCGGCACTTTGGGAGGCTGAAATGGCAGGATTGCTGGAGCCCAGGAATTTGAGGTCAGCCTGAGCAACACGGACGGATGCCATCTCTACAAAAATGAGCTGGGTGTGGTGGCACGCTCCTGTAGCCCCAGCTGCCGGGGGCGGGGGGGGCTGTGGTAGGAGGATCACCGCGCCCAGGGGGTCGAGGCTGCGGTGAGCCATGATTACGCCACTGCATTCCAACCTGGGTTGGAACGGGTGACAGAGCAAGACCTGGTCTCAAAAAAAAAAAAGGTGAAAAAAACAAAGCAAGGTATGGACAAAACACTTCAGCAACTAAATATCGAGCACCTACTGTGTGCTGAAGTCTAGTTGTTGGGGAGACACACAGAAAACAGAACATACAACAGGTTTATTTATGACCAGAAATGGCAGTTCTGGCCGAGCGTCGGGACTCACGCCTGGAATCCAGCACTTTGGGAGGCTGAGGAGGGCAGATCATTTGAGGCTAGGAGTTCGAGACCAGCCTGTGCAACACGGTGAAACCCCGTCTCTACTAAAAATACAAAAATTAGCTGGGCACGGTGGCGCGTGCCTGTAATCCCAGCTACTCGGGAGGCTGAGGCAGGAGAATTGCCTGAACCCGGGAGGCGGAGGTTGCGGTGAGCCGAGATCGCGCCATTGCACTCCAGCCTGGGTAACAAGAGCGAAACTGCGTCTCAAAAAAAATAAATAAAATAAAATAAACCACGATATGTATTCTTATCCCACAGCCTCCGAGAGCCGCCAGGACTCCGCCGTGAGTGTGACGGGCACCAGCGGCACCAACAGCATTAGCATGTCGGTGGAGATCAATGGCATCATGTACACAGGTAGGACCCCCGAGGCCACGCCCCGCCTCCACCTCCCTCTCCCGGCGCGAACTCACGACCCTGGGTTGCACCTGGTTGCACCTGCTTGGACCCAGGCACGCGGGCAAGCAGGGCACGGCCAGAGGTTTTGCAGGGCAAATGGTCAAGGACAGTCGCGTGCCCTCAGCCCAGAAGGGGGTCATCCGCAAACACATACTCGGTGTGACGTGGGATGGTTCACATTCCTTTTTTTTTTTTTTATGAGACCGAGTCTTGCACAGACACGCACCACCAACCTGGTTAATTGTTAAGTTTTGGGCCGGGCGTGGTGGCTCAAGCCTGTAATCCCAGCACTTTGGGAGGCCAAGGCGGGTGGATCACAAGGTCAAGAGATCGAGACCATCCTGGTCAACATGGTGAAACCCCGTCTCTACTAAAAATACAAAAAATTAGCTGGGCACGGTGGCACGTGCCTGTAATCCCAGCTACTCGGGAGGCTGAGGCAGGAGAATTGCTTGAACCCAGGAGACAGAGGTTGCAGTGAGCCGAGATGGCGTCATTGCACTCCAGCCTGGGTAACAAGAGCGAAACTCCGTCTCAAAAAAAAAAAAAAAAAAAGAAATAAGACTGGGCACAGTGGCTCGTGCCTGTAATCCCAGCACTTTGGGAGGCCGACGTGGGTAGATCATGAGATCGGGAGTTTGAGACCAGCCTGGAGAACATGGTGAAACCCCGTCTCTACTAAAAAAATACAAAAATGAGCCGGGCGTGGTGGCGCGTGCCTGTAGCCCCAGCTACGCGGGAGGCTGAGGCAGGAGAATCGCTTGAACCCGGGAGGCGGAGGTTTTGGTGAGTCGAGGTCTCACCGTTGCACTCCACCCAGGCAACGAGAGCGAAACTCCGTCCCAAAATGAAAAACAACCACAAAAAAATTAAAAATTAGCCAGACGTGGTGGCACGCACCTGTGGTGTCAGCCGCTCGGGAGGCTGAGCCGGGAGGATCACTTAAGCCCGAGAGGTAGAGGCTGCATTGAGCTGTGACTGTACCACTGCGCTCCAGCCTCGGGACAGAGTGAGAGAGAAGTTTATACCCTGGGCGACCCCCACGTTGGGTCTCCCCGTGGCCCACCTTGCATCTGCTTAAACTCTGCATGGCGTGTGTCTTCTGTTCCTTCCTTAGGAGTTCTGTTTGCTCAGCCACCGGCCTCCACGCCACCCTCTGCTCCCAACAAAGGTGGTGGTGGCGGCGGCAGCACGGGCGGCCGGGGAGGAAACAGCGGGACCAGCGGTGGCCAGGCCGGGCCAGCGGGGCTGTCTGTGCCCTCCACATCTACCTCAAATAACTCGTTGCCTTAACCGCATCACTGCCCACCCGCCACCCACCCTGGGGCCCCACCAGCCCGGGCAGGGGGTCCAGGTGAGCCACACAGGGGCCAGCACGGCCCGAAGATACGGGTGGGGAGGGAAGATAGCCACAGAAGAGCCACAGCTGACGCCAAAAAAGAAAAGAAAAAAATATATATATAATACGTATATATATATATAAAGAAAATTTAATAAAACAGGGGAAAACCAAGGAACACTTGAATTTCTCAGGTTTTGGACATTCAGAGAGATGAATTGTGAGGACAGCAAAGGAAATGGATGAGAAAACCGAGAGGCAGCCCCTTCCCGGGCGTGCACCCACCGAAGGCTCTGGTGTCTGGTTCGGCCCGACCGCGACGTGGCCGGTCCCGTTTACCTCATACACCCCTGCACTGTGTGTTTTCAGTTTTGTCTGCTTTGGTTCTCTGTGATTTTCTGTTCACCGTACGCTCACCACTCCCGGTTCCTGTGTCCAGTGAAACCCCTGAGCCGAGATCACTGAATTTTTTTTTTTCTTGTTGCTTTGGGGATTTTTTTTTTTTTTTTTCCTCTCTGTAGGGTTTTTAAGAGGTTTCGGGGGTTTGATTGTGTAAATATTCTATTTTATTCTCGGGGGGATCAAACCTTAGGAAAAGGATATCTATATATCTAGATACTATATATTTGTGTTCCTTCAGGGAAACTGGCCTTGAAAACCAAGAAAAAAAAAAAAAAAAAAGCAAAAAAAAAAAAAGAAAATAACCTTTTTATTTTTCCCATGACCAATTTGGGTCCCTTTGTCCGTTTCCGGGGGTGCGTTGAGCAGCTGTGAGCCCAGCATGTCGGATCCCTGGGGCCAGAGCCTCGGAGCCAATGAACTCAGGTGCTGTGGGCCGGGCTGGGGCAGGGGGGGCGCATGCCGGGGCCCCTGGGGGCCAGGGGTGGCCCCATGACAGTAACTTGCTAACTGTGATGTTCCACGATGCTTTCTCTTGTGCTGTGCTTGTCTGCCGGGTTCTTGAGTTAGGGGCCTGGAAATGTTTGATTATTTTTTGAGACGGAGTTTCGCTTGTTACCCAGGCTGGAGTGCAATGGCGCGATCTCGGCTCACCGCAGCCTCCGCCTCCTGGGTTCAGGCAATTCTCCTGCCTCAGCCTCCCGAGTAGCTGGGATTACTGGCACGTGCCACCGCACCCGGCTAATTTTTGTATTTTTAGTAGAGATGATGTTTTGCCATGTTGGCCAGGCCGGTCTCGAACTCCTGACCTCGTGATCCACCCGCCTCGGCCTCCCAAAGTGCTGGGATTATAGGCTTGAGCCACTGCCTCGGCTGGGCCAGGCCTGGAAATATTACCTGAAAAGTAGCAAGTGCTGGAAAAATGGCCTGGGGGGCGGGGGACAGGGCTGATTCTTGTCACAGTCCCCAGGCCCCTGTCTCAGGGATGAATGTGGCGTCTCACTGGGATTCTTCTCTGGCCCGAAAGGGCTGTTCTTGGGGACTATCAATACTGGGGAGTTGGGGTGAAGCCGGACCTCGCTCAGGGTGAGGATTTTGGGGCCCCGGCATCCTGAACACCCCCCACGCCCCAACATTCTCCTCGCTCGGTCCCTTCCTCTTCTCCCGACCCCTTTTGTGCTGGGGCTGCACGGGAGCCCTGGGTGGGGATTGACTCAGCTATTCCTGGGGTTAGCCTGGGTCTCTAATTGGGCCCTGGGAGCCCTGTTAGGCCACCGGCATGTGGGGTCAGTAGAAAGGAGATGCCCCAGCTCCCCTCACTCCCAACCACCCCTCCATTGCCAGCCCCTGCAAGGGGCTGGGGTGGCTTCTGAGCCCCACACTCTAGGTTCACTTTCCGGTCGGATTGTGGGAAGGGACTTTGACTTCCTTGTGTTTTTGGTAGGGGACCCCACTTTCTTCTCGGATCTCAGGGCCGTTGACATGCCCCCCCTTTCCAATAGGGGGTGGTGGGCATCTAGGTTCTTCCTGCCCCGTTCCCGGGGCTGGCACCATAGCAGCACAATCACCCTGGGAAGGGGGTGTCTTTTCACCCCAAGACCCACTGACAGAACCACCTGGACTCTGTCCACGTCTGTCCTCCTCCCCGGGACCCCGTCTCACGTCTGGGCCCCGAGCAAGGGGAACCATCTGTCCGTGTTGTCCCCTCCCCCGCCGGCCTCCAGGGCTTCTCTCCCTGGGACCCCCAAACCACCTCTGGGCCCCGCGATGGGGGACGTGCCTACTGCCTATCTGTCTACCTCAGGTCTGACTTTTGATGCCAAAATCTGGGCCCCTGGGGTGCCTGTCCCCCACCTCCTTCGCACTGGGTTCTGCCATCCGCTGCGTCTGGTGGCCCTGGAGGGCCCCGGGAGGCCCCCTCTCACCCACCCGCCTCTTGCCTGGGGAGGGGCTGGGCGGGGCCTCGGGCTGTGTGTGTCGGGGTCCGTGTGCACGTGTGTGTGTCGGGAATCCTGTGTCGTGTCTGTGTGGGTGATCTGGCCTCCCGGCAGAGGGGGATCTGGATTCTAACTCAGGGGACTTGGGCCTGCTGTTAAGTCCGGTGATTGTAGGGACAGGCGGGGGACGGTCTCGGGCTGGGTCCCGGTCAACCTGGCCGGCTCCAGGAGAAGGAAGTGGCCGTGCTGGCTGTGGAAGTGTGAGGGGGTCACAAGGGTCTACGGGGCCAGTTCCTGGGAGAGTGGGCAGGAAGCCGGGGTCTCCGGAGGGTCCTCCCTGCCTCAGGTGGCCCCGTTCAATCCCGGCTGTTGGTGGGGGATTTAAAGTCAGGGTGGCTTTCGGGGGGCAGCTCAGCACCCGCCTCCCCCCCGCAGACTGAGATGGAGTCGGGCAGCTCCCTCAGCCTGGAGGACCCTGGGCGGGTTTGAGTTCACTCGGGGCTGTGAGGCCTCACTGCAGACCGGGCGGGGACCCGCACTCAGGGCGAAGGGGGGCTCCCCCTACTCTGAGATGTTGGGGGGCAGGCGGCTTCCGGAACCCGTAAGTGGGACCTGTAAGTGGCGGCCAGGGCGGGCGGGAGGGTGGGCACGGGGCCCTGGGGGCAGCTGGGGCCGTCGTCAGGGTCTCGAATCTGTACAAACCAATCTCCTTCCTTTGAGCGTTTTTTTACCCACTCTGTCCCTTTTCCCCCTCATTTTGCTTTTGCATTTTTTTTTTTTTCTTGGCAAATGTAAGCTCAGCCTTTCATTCATGACGTGTGAAGTTGCAGTTCCTCTGGGGTTTGTCAGACGGCGTGGGGACCGCGCCTGAAACTCAGGTAATAGGAGAAAAAGAAATAATAAACTTAAAAAAAAATTTTTTTTAAACATAGAAAACTACTCTCTACCTCTGACTGGGCCCAGCCCGCCCCGCCCCGGCCTCGGGGTTCGGGGGGTGCTGTAACAATTTCAGTTTTTGCAGATCATTCAGGTATTAAAAGGAAAAAATGTTAAAAAAAAAAAAAAAAGAAAAGAAAAGAAAAAAAGACCAAAAAAAAAAAAAAAAGGGTGTGATGTTGAAATTGAAAAGATCACTGAAAGTTTACATTTTATAATAACATTATTATGCAGATTGTATTTAAACCTCAGAAATATTTAAGACGATTGTAACTCTGTAAAGGTGATGAGATATTAAAACAAGACAAAACTCTTCTGACTTTTAACAGAACGCGCCGTGTCCTGTCGTGTGCTTTTCCTTTTGGCGTCTCCCCAAGCCCAGCTCCACCCTGTACCCCCCGCCCCGCCCAGCACACCCAGGGTGAGTGGAAGCGGGAGCTCCGTTTACCCCGGCGTCCCGCCAGGTCTCCTTAGGTGGCGGGTGACAGCTACAGAAGCACACGGTGGCTCACGCCTGTCATCCCAGCACTTTGGGAGGCCGAGGCGGGTGGATCACGAGGTCAGGAGATCGAGACCATCCTGGTCAACATGGTGAAATCCCGTTTCCATTAAAAATACAAAAAATTGGCCAGGCGTGGTGGTGTGCGCGCCTGTGGTCCCAGCTACTCAGGAGGCTGAGGCAGGAGAATCGCTTGAACCCGGGAGGCAGAGGCTGCGGTGAGCCCAGATCACACCACTGCACTCCAGCCTGGGAGACAGCGCAAGACTCTGTCTCAAAAAATAAAAAATAGGCCGGGCGCGGTGGCTCACACCTGTAATCCCAGCACTTTGGGAGGCCGAGGCGGGTGGATCACGAGGTCAAGAGATCGAGACCATCCCGGTCAACATGGTGAAACCCCGTCTCTACTAAAAATACAAAAAATTGGCCGGGTGCGGTGGCTCAAGCCTGTAGTCCCAGCACTTTGGGAGGCCGAGGTGGCCTCACAGGAATTTCTCTGGGACATGTTTCCTGGGCCGCTCAGCCCCCGTCCACCCTCCCACTGCCCACAGTCCTGGCCGCGGCTGGCTGGGACACGTCCCCCCCCAGGGCTGGGTTGGAGGTGAGGGACCAACTCCCCCTCCGCCTGTCCCAACCAGCTGGTGCCTGAAACCCACTTTCCACCCTGGCCCCGCAAAGGAAAACAGTGTTTCCACTCCAGCCAGAAATGAGTCTGCTGAACCCCGGCCCCGGGATGGAGGGAGGCCCACCCGAAGCCAGGGAGAGGAGGGGAGAGCCCGGGAAAGGCCGCGCCCCCACAACTGGATCACCAGGCTCTGCTTGTTCACCCACAGCTGAGGGCTTCGGAGATGGAGAAGAAAGAGAGGGGGTGCGCCCCTCAGTTCCCCAGCCTGGGAGGGACTTGGCCCCCAACTCCTCCCCAGCCAAGGGGGACTCAGCCCCCCACCCCTCCCCAGACAGGGAGGGACTCAGCCCCCCGCCCTTCCCCCAGTCAGGGGGAGACTCAGCCCCCCACCCCTCCCCAGACAGGGAGGGACTCAGCCCCCCACCCCTCCTCAGCCAGGGGGGACTCAGCCCCCCACCCCTCCCCAGACATGGAGGGACTCAGCCCCCCACCCTTCCCCCAGCCTGGGAGGGACTTGGCCCCCAACTCCTCCCCAGCCAAGGGGGACTCAGCCCCCCACCCCTCCCCAGCCAGGGGGACACAGCCCCCAACTCCTCCCCAGCCAGGGAGGGACTCAGCCCCCCACCCCTCCCCAGCCAGGGGGACGCAGCCCCCAACTCCTCTCCAGCCAGGGAGGGACTCAGCCCCCCACCCCTCCCCAGCCAGGGGGACACAGCCCCCAACTCCTCCCCAGCCAGGGAGGGACTCAGCCCCCCACCCCTCCCCAGCCAGGGGGACTCAGCCCCCCACCCCTCCCCAGCCAGGGGGACGCAGCCCCCAACTCCTCCCCAGCCAGGGAGGGACTCAGCCCCCCACCCCTCCCCAGCCAAGGGGGACTCAGCCCCCCACCCCTCCCCAGCCAAGGGGGACTCAGCCCCCCACCCCTCCCCAGCCAGGGGGACGCAGCCCCCAACTCCTCCCCAGCCAGGGAGGGACTCAGCTCCCTACCTCCTCCCCAGCCAGGGAGGCACTCAGCCCCTCCACCCTTCCCCAGCCACAGAGAAACTCAGGCCCCCACTCCTCTCCAGTCCAGCGGGTCCCAGCCACCTCCCTGAGCCAGGGGGCCACCTGCCAGGTGCTTGCCAGAGGGGCGGGAGGCTCCTGGAGGTGAAATAGCAGATTTTTGGAGCCAGCCTAGAGAGGCGGCGGCTTAGACGCTTAAAAAGCTGAGGGCTCCCGGAGCCGCTCTCCCCACAGGCACAGGTAATGACGGGGCCGCCACCGGAGGGCTGGCGCTGCTGGACAGGACAGGTCTGTGGGGCCAGGATGGGGCGGCCAGGACGGCTGGGCTCTGGCTGGGTTCGTCAGTGTCAGCAGACCGGCGGTGAGCTCCACAAACATGCAGGGGGCGGAGGAGGGCCTTACACCCGAGGGGAACGTTCCTGCCCCGTGCCTCAGTTTCCCCTTCCTGGCTACTCCCCCCCCCCCCGACAACCTCCCAGCTGGCACCAAGGAGATCCGACCGCCGGGTGGTCTAGAGACGCCCCCAGAGTGTGGCTTCGGTGCCCCTGCGTCAACACAATTGGTCTGATTCCAGGAACCAGGCTGGGGGTGGGGTGACCTCTGACCTCACACTGCAGCCTGGCCTGGCAGCGTCCCCGGGGAGGGGAGGAGGGGAGGAGGGGAGGAAAACCGTGGCCTGGCCTGGGCCGGGCCACAGCAGGAGGCCTGTGGGGAGCTGGAGACTCCATCTGCCTGCTGCCGCCCTGGGCCCTCTCCCGTCCTTGGTAGCCCAGGCCTTCCTGGCCTGCTGGGTGTCCTGGAACCCAGGAATTTAAAATCTTCCAGGCCAGGCCAGGCGTGGTGGCTCATGCCTATAATCCTAGCACCTTGGGAGGTCAAGGCAGGAGGATGGTTTAAAGCCAGGAGCCCCTCTCTACAAAACGGCACGATGTTCGCTGCCGTGCTGTGGTCCTGAACTCCCAGCACCTCGGGAGGCTGAGGTGGGAGGATCGCGTGAGCCCTGGAGGTTAAGGCCGCAGAGAGCTATGATGGTGCCCCGGCACTGCGGCCTGGGCGACAGGGCCAGACTCTGTCTGTAAGAAAAATTAAAAATGAAAAAGTCAGGTTCAATGGCTCACGCCTGTAATCCCGGCACTTTGGGAGGCTGAGGCAGGTGGATCATCTGAGGTCAGGAGTTTGAGACCAGCCCGGCCAAGGTGGTGAAGCCCCGTCTGTACTAAAAATACAAAAATTAGCTGGGCACGGTGGCGCGTGCCTGTAATCCCAGCTACTCGGGAGGCTGAGGCGGGAGAATTGCCTGAACCCGGGAGGCGGAGGTCAAAGTGGGATGGCCTCACTGCACTCCAGCCTGGTCAACAGGGTGAAACTCCATCTCTAAATAAACCTGCCTGGGCAATAGAATGAAAACCCACCTCTCCCGCTTGTCTACAAATAAATAAATTAAATTAAAATTTAAAACAGGGCCAGGCACAGTGGCTCGTGTCTGTACTTCCAACACTTTGGGAGGCCGAGGTGGGAGGATCAGTGGAGGCCAGGAGTTTAAGACCAGCCTGGGAAGCAAAGCAAAAAACAATCTCTGCAAAAAAAAAACAAAAGCAAAAAAATTGGCTGAGTGTGCGCCTGTGGTTCCAGCTACTTGGGGAGCTGAGGTAGGAGGATGGCTCCATCACAGCTCTGCGCTCCAGCCTGGGGGACAGAGTCAGACCCGGGCGCGGTGGCTCACGCCTGTAATCCCAGCACTTTGGGAGGCCGAGGCGGGTGGATCACGAGGTCGAGAGATCGAGAACATCCTGGTCAACATGGTGAAACCCCGTCTCTACTAAAAATACAAAAAATGAGCTGGGCATGGTGGCGCGTGCCTGTAATCCCAGCTACTCGGGAGGCTGAGGCAGGAGAATTGCCTGAACCCAGGAGGCGGAGGTTGCGGTGAGCCGACATTGCATCATTGCTTTGCTCTCCAGCCCGGGTGACAGAGTGAGACTTGTCTCAAAGTAAATAAGTAACTAAATGAAATAAGCACAGTGCTGGGGGGACCTGGAGGCATCGCAGGTCCTAGGATTGGACCCCCCACTCCCCTCCAGGAAAAATAAAATCCAGGCCTCACCCACAAGGCCCTGCACCAGGCAGCCCCATTCCGTGGTCCTGCCCCAGCGCATCTGCACGGGCCTGGCCGGCGCGCGGGTCTCTGGGGGTTGTCATCTCCTTTGAAAACCCCTCCTGCGGACCAGGCAGGTCCCCGGGGACACCCTCCCTGTGGCCTGGACCCCAGGTGGGCCTCGGATCGGTGGCTCGCGCCTGCCACCTGGCGGCCAGCGGGGCTGCAGCGCCGCACGCTCAGAAACCGGCCTCCCGCCCGGGCCTTGCCCTCCACCTGCGGGCACAGCACCGCGCACCCAGCATCCAGCCCCTGCCTCTTGCTGCTCTAGGACCCAGGACAACCACGACATCTCCCGGGCGGAAATCCTGACATTCATTCATTCATTCATTCATTCATTATTTTGAGACGGAGTTTCGCTCTTGTCACCCAGGCTGGAGTGCAATGGTGCGATCTCGGCTCACCGCAACCTCCGCCTCCTGGATTCAGGCAATTCTCCTGCCTCAGCCTCCCGAGTAGCTGGGATTACAGGCACGCGCCACCATGCCCGGTTAATTTTTATATTTTTAGTAGAGACAGGGTTTCACCGTGTTGACCAAGGATGGTCTCGATCTCTTGACCTCGTGATCCACCCGCCTCGGCCTCCCAAAGTGCTGGGATTACAGGCGTGAGCCACCGCGCCTGGAAAATGCTCCCTTTTTAGGGGGTTGGCAGCTAAGTCCACATTTTATTTTATTTTATTTATTCGGAGGAGTCTTGCTCTGCTGCCCAGGCTAGAGTGCAGTGGCCTGATCTCGGCTCACTGCAGCCTCTGCCTTCTGCGCTCAGCGATTCTCGTGCTTCAGCCTCCCGAGTAGCTGGGATTACAGGCACGCGCCACTGTGTGCAGCTTTTACTTTTTCTTTTCTTTTATTATTTTTTTTTTGTGTGTATTTTTAGTAGAGACGAGGTTTCACCATGTTGGCCAGGCTGGTCTCAAACTCCTGCCCTCACGTGATCCACCCCGGCCTCCCAAAGTGCTGGGATTACAGGCGTGAGCCACCGCGCCCAGCGAATGCTCCCTTTCTAAGAGGTTGCCAGCCATTTCCACATTTTAAAACATA